TAATCGATGGGAAATCACCGATTTAGCATCGATTAGCGTCGATTTAGCGTCGACGCAGCGTCGATTAGCATCGACCAGCTTCGACCAGCGACGGCAAGCGTCGATTCGATGGACCCAACAAGACGGTATGGGAGGCTCCCACGAGTTGCCACCGAAGTTCTGGGGTCCCGATATCTCCCCTGGCACCCCCGTGTTCGTGGGCGCCGCGGCAGAGGCACAGCGGCAGCTCTTTCGCAGCGTCGCCCTCTGGGGGGGGTCGCTCCTAGCCCCGCTCTCCCCTGGGCGGCCCCCGACCTCTCGGCGCCAAGACGAAGGCACGGCAGCAGCTCCTGCACAGTTGCACCCCCGGCGGGGGCTCGACCCCCTCCCATCGGATCTTCCTTCGTTCTTAGGGCAGCCTCTGTCCCGCTCGAGAATCCCTCCTCTGCCTCGTTCCCTCTCTTCTGGTCCCACTGCGCCCTCGTGGTTACCCCTGGCAGTCTCGTGGATGGAGGGCGTTGCACGTCGGGGACTGCTGGGCAGCGGTGATCCTGAGAATGCGTCAGCGGGAAAACAGGGGGCCGCATGGTTTGTCGGGTTGATGTAATTCGAGTTGGCAGCTTTGCAGGCCGAGCTGGGGGTCCTCAGCCTCATTCCTTCGATCTCCGTCGACCTTACCTCCGCATCGCCTTCCCTTGTGCCCTCCTTTCTGCCTTCACCGCCCCTCTGCTTCCCCTAACCTTCCTCTGCGCTGCCAACACTGCCCGCACTGTATGAGGAATCTCGCTCCATAGTAGGGCTCGGGGTCCGCGCTCATGTTGCTTTCCAGGGTCGGATTCAGCCAGCAGCACTTCGTCCCTGTCTCACCAATCCGTCTCCGGCTGTCACATGAGCTCGTAGCCCCCGCCGTGCTCCTACGGGCAGACACCCTGTCCAGTTTAGGGGTGTGTGAACACGAAGTGGCTTCAGCTACAGTGGGGGCCCATGCCAAGAAACACCCTGCTTGCCTCCAGGGTGCCCTGGGTTTCTTGGGTTTCGATGGTTTTGCGATGGACGGCGTGACGTTCCCACACCAGAAATCGATGGACGTCCCGGGGTCCCAGGGTTGGGTTTCTTGTGGAAGGGTTCGTGAAGCCTAGCCTCCACTGCAGGACGTGGGTGTCGGTTTCGGTTCGTGTCGCGCGTGCACGCGAGGCGAAGCCGCGCGAGGGCGGCGGTGTGCCGGCCAGGCCAAGGGCGAAGTCGGACAAAGGGATGCCCGTGCGGGTCGCGGTGGCCCGCAGGGTCACGGGTGGTGGTCTTGCAGGCTGTCTCCCGTAGCCTGTCCCGTGGGCTGTCCCATGGCAGTTCCGTGAGGTTTCCCGTGGTTGTCCGATGGGTCGTCCGGGGGTTTGTCCAGCTGTCCGAGGTGGTCCCGTCATGTGTCCCATGATTGTCCCGCGGTTATCTTGCGGTTGTCCCCCGTGGTTGTCCCGCTGTGGCTGTCCCATGGTTTTACTGTTGGTGTTTCCCCGTTGTCCCGTGGGTTGTCTTGTGATTGTCCCGTGGGAAAGGCAAATCGACATACAGATCAACATTTTCATGGATAAAGTTCTTCGACTGTAGCGCACGGCGGGACGCCAAGCTTCAAAGGAGCAAGCTTGAAGTTCCAGCCTTGAGCTTATGATTAATGATTGTCATTCCGCGCGCGAGCCGAATGTGGTTCGAGGAGGCCTGGGGAGGTGCGAAGCGCGCAGCGCCAACGACGACGACGACGACTACGGCAGAACAGTGTTTGTTGTATTGCAGCGTTTGTGCATTGCAATTATTGCTGTTGTTGGTGTTGCTGCTGCAACGCAGTGTTGGTCTGATTTGATGAGCCGCTGCTTCGCTTCTGAAGCTATAGCTTGAATTTAACATGGTTTTTCTGCGTGCGCGCCGAACGTGGTTCGAGGCGGTCCAGGGAGGTGCGAAGCGCGCAGCGCCAACGACGACGACGATGACAACGATCACGGCTTCACTTCTAGAGCTTGAACCTAGGATTGCGATTATGCGTGCGAGCCGAAGTTGGCTTGAGGAGGTCCAGGGTGCGAAGCGCGCAGCGCCAAACACGACGACAGCAAAGTTGTTGCTTTGTGCATTGCAATATGTTCTGCCGTGCAGTCTTGGTCTGTTTCGGGGTGCCGCTGTTTCTCTGCTGGAGCTTGAGCTTATGAGTCTGATTCCAAGTGCGAGCAGAACGTGGTTTGAGGAGGTCCAGGGCGGTGCGAAGCGCGAAGCGCAAACCACGACGACGACAGCAAGTCAGTTTGTTTTGCATTTCAGTTTTTTTGTTGCATTGTAGTTTCTGTTGCTTTGCAGTTTTGGTTTGCTTCGGGCAGACGCTGCTTCGTTGATACAGTTTGCGCTTATGATTATGATTCCGCTTGCGAGCCGAATGCGGTATGAGGAGGTCCAGGTCGGTGCGAAGCGCGCGACGACGACAACACTGGTTGCTCTGTATTGCAGTTGGTTTTGAATTGCAGTTGTGTGTGGCAATGCTGTGTTGTTCTGCTTCGGAGCGCCGCTGGTTCGCTGCTACAGCTTCACTATACAATTCAATGTCTGCGTGTGAGCCGGATGTGGTTTGAGCATGTCCAAGGAGGTGCGACGCGCGCAATGCCAACCACTACGACAGCAAAATTGTTGTTTTGTGCATTGCCGTTTGTGCTGCAATGCAGATGTGGTCTGCTGTGGGGTGTCGCTTTTTCGTTGTTGGAGCTTGAGCTGATGAGTATGAATCCCCATGCGAGTCGAATGTGGTTTGAGGAGGGCCAGGTAAGTGCGAAGCGCGCAGCGCCAACCACGACGACAGCAAAACTGTTTGTTGGGCTCTGCAGTTGTTTGTTGCATTTTAGTTTGTAATGCAGTGCAAACTTGGTCTGCTTCGGAGAGCTGGTGCTTCGCTGCTAGAGCTTGGGGTTACAATCATCATTCCGCGTGAGAGTCGAATGCGGTGTGAGGAGGTCCAGGTCGGTGCGAAGCGCGTAGCGTCAACTACCACGACAACAAGGTTCTCAGCCGTGTAGGGCACGGTGGGATGTTAAGCTTCAAAAGAGGAAGCTTGAATTTTTAGCCTTGAGCTTGAGCGTCGGAGTGCCGCAGCTTCTCGGCCATAACTCCAGCTTGAGATTAGGATTCTGCGTGCGAGCCGAATGTGGTTTGAGGAGGTCCAGGTAGGCGCGAAGCGCGCAGCGTCAACCACTACGACGACAGCACCACAGTCTAGCTTACTTTGCAGTTCATTTTGTTTTTGCATTTGTTTGTTTGCAACGCAGTGTTGGTCTGCTTCGGAGTGCCGCGGTTTGGTTGCCAGGGCTTTAGCTTATGATTATGCTTCCGCGTGCGGGTCGGATGTGGTTTGAGGAGGTCCAGGGAGGTGCGAAGCGCGCAGCGCCAACCACGGCGACAACAGCTAACGTGTTACTGCTTACATTGCATCTTATTGGTGTTGCATTGCAGTTGTTTCGCAGTGCAGTTTAGGTTTACATTGGAGTGCCGCTGGTTCGCAGCTAGAGGCTGGAGCTTGAGCTTTTGATTCTACACGATTCTGCATGCGAGCCGAACGCGGTTTGGGGTGCTCCAGGGAAGTGCGAAGCGCGCAGCGTCAACCTTGCGACCGCAATACAGTTGGTTGTGTAGTGCAGTTGATTGTCTGCGTGGCAGCTTGTTTTGCATTCACTTCTTGTTGCAATTCAGTTGGGGGGTGTTTCGAAGTGCCGCTGTTCACTTACTAGAGCTTGAGCTTATCATTTCGCGTGCGAGCCGAGTGCGGTTCGAGGAGGCCCAGGGAGGCGCGAAACGCGCGGCGCCAACCACGACGACAGCAAGACATCGTTAAGTTTCATGTCAGTTTTGTTTCGCTGCGTTGTACTATATGTTTTGCAATGCAGTGTTGGTCTATTTCGGAGTTCTGCTGTTTCGCTGCTAGATGTTGGTCTAGTTGGCATGGTTTGGTTGACTGGTCTGGTTGGTCTGTGTTTGTTCGTCCTTATGGCGGGCTGGTCTGGTTGGTTTTATTTGGCGATTTCGCTGGCTTGACTCGCTGATCTTGCTAGCATATGCTGTGCAATCTGTGTGGCGCAATCTCGGCTGTGCAATACCCGTGGTGCAGCATATGTGGTGATGCTGTGAAACTTACGCTGTGAAATATATGCGGTGCAGTCTCTGCTGTGAAATCTTCGTTGTGCACTATATGTGGTGCAACCTGTGTGGTGCAATCTATGTGTTGCAACTTATATTGTGCAAGCTATGCTGTGCAGGCTATGAGCAATTTATGGTGTGCACTATACGTTGTGCAAGCTGTGGTGTGCAATAGATGGAGTGCTGCTTACGTCCTGCAACCGAGGTGCGGCAACCTATGTGGTGCAATCTATGTTATGTAATCTAGGTCGGGCCGGTGACGGCGACAATATAGCCGCCAGACCGACGGACAGGCCCAGGTACGGGCTGCGACGAGGCGGCGACGGGGCGGCGACGGCGACAACATAGCCGCCAGACCGACAGACAGGCCCAGGTACGGGCGGCGACGAGGCGGCGACGGGGCGGCGACGGCGACTACATAGCTGCCAGACCGACAGACAGGCCCAGACGATGGGCGACGACGCGGTGGCGACGGGGCAGCCACGGTGGACCACATAGGCCGCCAGACCAGCCCGCAGGCTCCCCGGTCCTTCTTCCAGAAGTGAGAGCCCCCCACGTGCGAGCACTGCCCTCCTCCTCCTCCTCCTCCTCCTCCTCCTCCTCCTCCTCTTCCTCCTCCTCCTCCTCCTCCTCCTCCTCTCTGGTCCTCCTCCTCCTCCTCCTCCTCCTCGGAACATGTGCATTTTCGGATCATCGGTTATGTCCTCCGGCACATCGACATCTGTGCAGCCATACGGCGCCATGCCATCGCAAACCGAAGGTTGCATCCCTGCCCTCTCGCCGAACCCCGTTCTCACCTGAAGGATGGTCTTGCGTGAAGCGTGCTCCTACTTTTATGTTTCCCGCGCCCGAGCCCGCAGGATACGGGGACGTACATGTTCATGGCTCTGGACGCCAAGGGCGAAGAGCGATTGCTCATCTTCGGTGGGGACGGGGTCGGGATTGGACAACAACAAAACAACGTGATCTTCGAGGAGGAGGAGGAGGAGGAGGGACGCTCGGCTTCGGACGCATCGGGGGCCTCTTGGGCCTCCGTGGAGACATCTTGGGCTTCTTTGAGCGTTCTTGGGCCGTCTCGGGACCCTCTTGGAACTTCTGGGTGGCCTCGGAGGACGCTATTGGGCAATCTGTCTGCTCTCTGGCCGTTGGAAAAATCAAGCGAGGAACACCCAGATGCGCCTGGTAGACACAGAGAGCTCCCAGAATTCGAGGTCGCGGGCCCTTTTCACAAGGCTTGTTCTTGTCAATCCTCAATACAGGGGACTCGCAGGGACCTGAGGCGACCCCACGACGTGCCGAGGCACGGTGGCGGATTCTGAGAGTTTTCTGCGCCCAATGCATTTGTCCAGGTTTTGCATATTCAGGATTGGCTGTTCCTTCGACTCGCACATGCTTGTAGCATTGCTTGCTGCTCGCCAAGCGTATCTCGCAGACGTAGGAGTCATCTCCTCCTTTCTCCAGGAAGCTGGCAGCCTTTGGTGCCACGTCGTGGGCGAGCCCGCTTGGACTCCCAGGAACCTCGCACGTCGATGAGGCTGCAGTCGCTAAGGTAGCACAAACATTGAAAGGGCTGCGCGTGTAGCAGACGAATGGCTTCGCCGAGATCAAGCCTAGGCGCAATATCGGGGAGAGCTTCTCTGCAGGAACGTCCGCGCGTGTCGTCTGGTGCTTCTCGGCCGGCAAGGTTGATGACGTGCGGCTTATGCCTTGAATCGATCTTCGACACGGCCCCATGAAAGCGTGGAGCGCATACTTTTTCCAGACCCGGCCACAGCCGTCCGTCAAGTGTTCGTTGCCGTTGAGGAGCAGCTTGATGGCCCAACGGATCGTGTGATTGGTTCAGTTTGTCGAGCATGTCGAGTGGCACTTTGTGTTACTATCTGAAGGAGACAGACAGAGACAGACACACACGCACAGTGGAAAGTAAGGAAATCAGCGCGGATTCAGAAACGACGAGCAAGAAAGAGGCAGGAACGCAGGCGGAGGAAGGAGAGCGACAGCGAGTCACAGGGGCAGAGGCAGACACATACGGATGCAGAGGTACGGACGGATAGTCAACAGGTGCCTTGCATGAAGAGACATATCCGAGAGTGCGAACATAGGTATGACGATCCTGCGCAAAGTCGTGGAGGAAGGGCAGGTGTAAACCCGGGCAGCAAGATCAGGGAGGGCGGCCGGCTGCACGCGGAGAGGATGGTGGACGAAATGATACAGGATTTTCCCAGTTGTCTGTCAAGGAGGAAAATTCAGCTACATCTGTGAGCGCCGTTGGAAGAGCTCGGTTGCAAACCTTAGGAACTGTGTATGCCCTAGTGCTTATGTTTTAAGAGTGCGCCCGTGTATATTCGCTTCGTGTCATCAATAGAATGGCACCGGTACAGCGTCAATCAGCGTCGGGTAGCATCAATCGGCGTAGATGTAGCATCGATTAGAGTCGATTCGCGTCGACTCGCAAGAGCCAGCAAGATGGTATGGGAGGTTCCCAGGAGTTGCCACCGAAGAAGAGGGTGAGGAAGAGCAGATTCCGACCCTACCTTGACCATGTGGCCCGGCCTGGTTGTCGTCACTTGGAAGGTTTGTTAGACGGCACGAGGACACCAGTGGAAGAGTTCGACTTGATTGGGCACTCAGGGAGGCGGGCATAGTTCCAGGGAGAATAGGCGTAGACGAGTTCATAACCACAGCTGACTCTCAGAGGTGCTCGAAAGCATCAATTTTGCAGGCCGATCCCGCAAACGGTCGAAACGGTAGGTAAGCCCCTATGACTCTAACTGTGTTGCAGCGGCATGTGCTGCAGGACACGAACTGGGATGTGTTCGCGTTCTACCTCGCTCGCAACATGTGTGCAGGGTGGGAACTTAGAATCGTGGCGTTTGAGTGGCTCAAGATCAACCCATTGACTCCGTGCACGGGGGGTGTAGAAGTGGGACGAACTGGGAGTCGGAAAGCACAAGGTGGACGTGCCCATACTGTCTTCAGATCGTGTTTTGCTCGAGAAGTCTTCTTGTGCCGAGCAGAGCTGCCAGAAGGCAGGAGACTTTCAATGTCCCGAAGAGGAGCGACTGTACACAACGACACCTGTCGTTCCCCTCCTCCCCCTCTCCCGCTCCGGACCTGAGCGACGTAGAGAAACGGAGTCGACAGCGTCGAAATTCGCGCGCAGGCTCGCGTAAGGTTGCGCGTCAACGTCTTTTCTTCAACACAGCCTGCCGCTTCGGCGGCCTGCGTCAACCACCGCGTAGGGTCGTTGTATCCTCGTGGATGAGGCCCCGTTGTCTCCGTCGGTCGTCGGTCGCCTCTCTCTTGGCTCCCCGCATCGGAGAAAGACAGGCGAAAACAACGACGGCTCACCCGCCTGGCTGGCCCAAGTCCGCTCAACATCTGTCCTCAGCCTGGGGTCTACCCTTCGGCGGCGAGCGGGGGGGGGAAGTAAGAAAAGGAGAAGGCCTTCTCAGAAGGCGGCGGGACTTCTCGGAAGCCCTCGCGCCCTCTGAGGCGCCCTTTGCGTCTTCGCGGAAGGCTTCGACAACTGCTCAGAAGGCCGGGGGGGACATCCGAGCCTCCTGAGGAGGCCTCCTCCTCCTCGCTTCCCCAAGGGCTCCCATGAGGGCGCGAAGTTATTCGCGCTTCGCGGTCCTCGTTCCTTCTCCCCCTCCTCCTCGTCCTCCTTTTCTCCCTTTGGGGGGGCGGCGCGAGGGCGCGAAGTTATTCGCGCTTCGCGCTTCGCGGAGCGCGAAGCGCGAAGTTGGGAGCCCTAGCTTCCCCCCCTCAGCCGCCGCCGAACCCTGCCCCGTCTCACGAGGCGGTGCCCCGCCGTGGCCACGAGAAGCTCCCGGGAGGCCAAGAAGGGGCGGCCGCGCGTGCCTCGGCAGGCCCTCCTGCGACCGTCGCGCGAGCGCCGCCCTGCCCGCCGCCCCTCCCCGAGCGGCAGGAGAAGCTGCGCGACGACGAGCGGCGCGGCGGCGGCCGCAGGAGGACGCGCTCCTCCAGCAGCGAGGACCGAGCCTGCGCGCCTGGAGGCGGGAGCCGGCCGGGGGGTCCGATGTGGCCCAGCGTTGGTCCTGAGGGGGGAGCCAGGGGCGTTCTTCGTCGCCACGGCTGCACGCGGCTCGAAAGGCTTGTATCAGTTTCGACCCTGTTCGTCTAGTTTTGCTTCTTCTGACTTCTAACGGCTCCCCCTGCACGACAGGCTCGCGCCGAGTTGGCGCGGCGGCGACACCGGCGCGGGCGCCGAAGGTTGAGCGCCGCCAGCGGCTCATAACCCGCTGATGTCGGACGATCTGCGGTATCGGGAAGCCGCGATCGCTCAAGACAGCGATGCGCGCCGTGTCAGAAGCCCACGCGCACGTCATCGCGACGCGAACCCCTGGCATCCGCATCCTCCGGCGTGCCGGGAAAAGCACGGCGGCAGGTTGTGCTCAAGTTTGTGCTCCCAGGGCCCCGGTTCGGGCCTGGGATCGTCCAAATTTTACCCGCAGCATGGGACAACGATTCCGAGGTCTCTCTCTCTCTCTCTCTCGGGTTCTGTTCCCTGTCGCTCGCCAGTCAGCGTAGGTGTAAGTCGGGCCTGTCCCTCTACAGGAGGAATATCCCAAGAAATCCAAAAATAGTCGGGTTACGTTTTTTTGAGTATTTGCGAGCATGCTTTGATTGTTTTCTTGCGTATCTTAAGTTTTTCGTCCAAAATCCGCCTGTAGCAGGACCGCCCGACCTGTGTGGTTCGCGAGAGGCGCCGCTCATGGCCAACGGCTCCCCAGTGGCGGGGCTGTGGCCAGGTCGGCCCGCGCGGGGCGCTACGGGGAGGGCCTCCGGCCCTCGAGCGAACGAGGGGTTGAGACCTCCCTCCGGCGGTGGGAGGCCCGCGGAAGCAGGAAGGAGGGGGGGGGGGTCTCCCGGGCGGAGGCCCGCGGAAGGTCGGCGGAAGGCGGCGACGGCAAGAGTTCAGTCGGGGCTGTCCCTCTGCAGGAGGAATATTCGAAAATTGTCGAGACATAGTCAGGGGATGATTTTATGAGTATGTTGCAACATGTTTTGTATGTTTTGACTCTTTCACGTTCGTCCTAAATCCGCCTGTAGGAGGACACGCCCGACCTGAGGCAAGAGACGCCCTGCCCCGAGGAGGTGGCGACGGTTTTGGGGGTCGGCGTCTGCGGCCTGGGCGACAGCGCATTGCCACGCACTGCCCTGCCAATCACAGCATTCGCCATGAAGGGGAGGTGTCCAGAGGAAAAGCGCGTCCTAGACTCGGGGGAGCGTAAGACCCGGGTTTGCCGGGACTCGGGTTCGCCATCGTTTTTTGACGACCGCGACTCGGATTTTGACGAGGAGGAGTTTCGTGGGATGTCTGCAGCGGGAGGCCTCGTCAAAATGCAGGCTCGGCCTCGTCATTTTTTTGACGACCTCGTCGGGGATTTCCGAGTCCCCCGTACCCGGGTCTTACGTCTCCCCGATAGACCAGGGGGGCTTTGCTCCAGGAACATTTCTTCACCCTGATTCGTTTTTGTGACGGTCGCGGGGCCCGTGGAGGATCCCGAAACGATTGTACAATCCAGGCCGGCCCTTGCATGCTAAAGCATCCTGATATCAGCAGGGCGCGTCCACGGGCCAAGGTTGACTACCGGGCGTGGCTTGTAGGGGTGCTGACTGTGAGGGCGCACTGTTCCATTACCATGACGTCTTGCGTACGTGCTGGGGCAATGCGCACGTGCATCATTAGTCGCCAGTTTTGCTCGGAAGGGTCCCGCACGAAACGTCAGCCCGATACGGGCAACATTTTGCATCGAGGTGCCTTGATCGTCCGGCTTCACTGTAAAAACTTCATCTTCGCAAGCCAGGACTTTGCCAGATCCTGCTGGAGAGAACAAAAAGGACACGGTCGGGATTTTTTTTGATAGTGTGTCGCCGCGCCGGTTTTGGCCCACCGCGCTTCGGTGCGACACGTTATCCACTTCGCGAAGCGCCTTGGCTCGCCTAGAGGCCCGCCAAATCATGTTCTAAGAACCGTTTGTCGTCTGCACGAGATGCTTTTAGAGCATTTCCGGTTTGGGCTGTCTTGTTTTCACGCATCGGGCTGATGTTATAAGAACATGGTTGCGGGTCTTAGAACATATTTCACTAGCCCAAAACATACCCGGACCCGGGGTCAGCTGGGGTGAAAAGGGCCGCCCGCTAGAGCGTTTTCGGCCTTGCCGCCACCTCGTCTGGGTACGGGTCGGTGCCCGAAACAACCATACATACCCGGACCTAGCTGGGGTGGTGGTTGGGTCACCCCGTCTAGGTACGGGTATGTATGGTGGTTTCGGGAGCCGACCCGGACCCAGGGGGGGTGATGCCCCGAGGGCCCCTTGCCACCCCGTCTGGGTAAGGGTACGGGTATCTTTCGCGCTCGAGAATATTTGGGTTGAGAACATGTTGTGGGAGGCCTCTAGGAATGCCGGGACGGTCGGTCCCTGCTCAGATCCACTTCGCAGTCCCGAGGCGTCCACGTCCGAGCCTCTCCGAGCCCCGCCCCGCAGGGCGCACATCGTGTCGCCGGGGCCGCCGCGGCGGCACGCGGAGCGACAGTCCCCGACCGCAGGAGGAGGAGGAGGAGGAGGAGGAGGAGGAGGAGGGGAGGAGGAGGAGGAGGGAGGAGGGAGGGAGGAGGAGGAGGGGGAGGAGGGAGGAGGGGGGGGAGGAGGGGGAAGACGAGGAGGAGGAAGACGAGGAGGAAGACGAGGAGGAGGAGGAGGAGGAGGAGGAGGAGAGGGAGGGAGGAGAGGAGGAAGAGAGGAGGAGGAAGACGAGGAGGAGGAGGAGGAGGAGGAGGGGAGGAACAGGAGGAGGAGGAGGAGGAGGGGGAGGAGGAGGAGGAGGAGGGGGAGGGGGAGGAGGAGGGAGGAGGAGGAGGAGGGGAGGAGGAGGAGGAGGGAGGAGGAGGGGAGGAGGAGGAGGAGGAGAGGAGGAGGAGGAGGAGGAGAGAGTGCTTCCGGCCCACGGCCGCAGTCTTCTCGGTGGCGCCACAGTGCACTGGCTCGACAACGGCTCCGCCTGCGGGGCCCCGAGGCACGGGAGCCGGGGCGGCCCGTGTGGCAGCAGTGCGTGGGAGCCTTGCGCTGGCGCGCGCTAGAGCTTCTCCCCTCCTCCCCTCCTCCTCCTCCTCCTCTCCTCCTCTCCTCCTCCCCGATCTCCCCTCCCCCTACTCGGACTCCTCCTCCCCCTCCCCATCCTACTCCCCCTCCCCATCTTTCTCATCGAGCACTGCAGTGCTCGATGAGAAAGATCTGGTTAGGCGTCGGCTTGGCGCCGACGTGGCGCCGACCTGGCGTCGACTGGCGTCGGTTTATTGCCGCTTCGCAGGGGCCGGCAAGATGGCATGGGAGGCTCCCACGGGCTGCCACCAGGAGGTCCCCCTCGACAGGGAAAACCAAGAAGGTACCGATACCGCTACTCCCCGGACCTCTCCCCGGGTGCTCTCTGACCAAGACTTCGAGGCGAATCCAGCGGTGGGGACGAGGACCTCTCAGGAGGGAGGGATAGCGGTATGGGTACCTTGTCCTCCTCCGATCTACGGGGCCCCGATGTGCGGGAGCCGCGACGGCCCGACGGGCCTTCCCCCTGCAGGACTCGCGGCGCTCGCGGAAGCGCAGGGACTGAACCCCCCCGAGCGCGCCCGGCGCGCGCACGGTGCGTCGCGCCCCGTAACCTCTCGTTGGTGGGCGTTCTCTCGGAGGAGGCGAGCGGCTCGAAGGTCGGGAGGGGTGTACTTTCGGCGGTGAGCGAGGGGGAGGAAGCGAGAAGGAGAAGGCTCTCTTTCAGAAGGCAGCGGGGCTTCTCAGAAGCCCCCCGGCCGTCTCAGAAGTTTGATGTGTCTTCTGACAACGCTTGGAAACCTTCTCAGAAGGCCGGAGAACTTCCGAGCCTTCTGAGAAGGCCCGCCCCTTCTCATTCCCCCCGCGCTCGCCGTCAAAACTTTGCGGACGAAAAGCATCGAAGAAGAAAGAACAGCATACACGCAGTTCAACTTTCGACGGTTCGAACATTTATGCTTTATGTCAGTCTTGTTCCCCGAGAAGAGCAATGCAAAATACGGTCAGGAGCGTTTGCTCAGAGTGTCGCGCCGCCTATTCTGACCCACCACGCTTCGGCGCGACGTGCCAAGGACGTCCCAGTCCACAAGCATCAGTGTTCCGAGCCTTTTCACCGCCTTTCGTCCCACAAAGCAGAGCGACACGCTATCAGCTTGCCACCGCGACACGCTCAGGAAAAGTCCCCGACACGAATGATCGAACGAAGAACGAACTGCGTGAACCTAAATGTTCGAGGGCTGACCATCGGTGTTCCTCCTCCTCCTCCTCCTTCGCCCAATCATCCTTGCTCTGTCGGTACTCTTCATTTTTCCCTCCGCTCTCTATATTCCTTCATCTCCTCTTCCTCTAGTCATCCACCTCCACCATTCGCCCTCCTCGTCATCCCCCTTTCTCGCCTCCCATTCCCTCCCTCTTGCTCGGATTTGACGGTTGCCTGGGTGCATTGAAGGAGGGCGCAGCGTCGCCAGATGCCAAATCAGCGCGTGGAACAGGCACGAGCGTGCATACATAGAAACGCCGATGAGGTCCCCAAGAAGGCTGCCCATAGAAGACGAGGGGGGCGACCAGTGGGATGATGAGGATGCTTATGCTGCTGATGAGAATGATGTGGTGGAATTCCAAACGTGGCGCACACACGCACCCAAACAAGAAAACACGTTGTTGTCACAGGGCGCGCGTTTTGCGCGTGCCAGCAACCAGTCCCAGGCGCGAAGTACGCTCCGTGCACCCAGCTCCATGAGACGGAGGGCCTTCGCAACTTTCGCGAACATTGACCTTCAAGGGTACGAGGGCACATGAGCCCCTCCTAGAGTCGGCAGGGCCGGGCCGACCGTAAAGAAGAGCATCAACGCCGCATTACATGTTATTATTCCTACTCATCTTTCCGACCCAGTTTCGGATGGATAGTGAGACAGTTTCGGATGGACAGCGAGACGTAATCCGAACAGCACAAGTCACCGCGGTACGATACGATTGGTGGCACCGAAGGGTGAAGAACGAAATTGAGTTCAAAGTTCATCTTTACAGGACGCCATAAGCGAGCGCTGAGAGAGAGGGCAAGTCATGCAGCAAACCCGCCTTCTGCTAGAAGGGCGCCAACTGTACACCTGCACTGGTCCTGGCCAGGCCCATCCTGGGCCCAGGATCGGTGTATCTGCCTTCCCGGCTCGGCCAGGAGTGCGTGTGCACCGATCGGTGCCCCAGGCCTGGCGCCTTCCGACTCTACGGAAAGCCATCCTCGTCATCTTCTTGATAGTCAGCCTCCCTTCGAGAGGGGTGAATTCCAGGCCAGGGAACCACCGAGGCTTCTGCGGCGCAGCCTCTTGAGCGGCGGCTCATTCGCTTCTGGTGGCGAGGGGGGAGGGGGCAGAATGTCTGCTACCCTTTTCGGCCTGCTGTTGTGTGTGGAAGATGTGAATTGCGTCCGTGCCATATACAGGGGACCATCACCAGCATCATCCTCATCCACATCCTCTTCCTTCTCCTCCTCAACGTCATCGTCATCGTTACCATCATCATCATCATCATCATCATCATCACCATCATCATCAGCATCATCATCATCATCATGTTCATCATCATTACCATCATCATCATACTCATCGTCACCATCATCATACTCATCATTATCATCCTCATTATCATCACCAGCATGATCATCATTGCCGTCATCACCACCGTCATCAACACCATTATCAGTATCATCATCATCATTGTCATCATCGTCTTCGTCTGCATCATCATCATCATCCATATCAAAGCCGTGATCGCAACAATCAGCATCATCACCACGATCAGCTTCACCATCAGATCCATCAGCATCATCATCAGCATCATCGCCATCAGCATAATCATCATCATCTGCATCTGCATCATCATCCTCACCATCATCATCATCATCATCATCCCCATCATCAGCATCACTACAACCATCCCTATCATCCGTATCACCACCATCATGATCATCATCATCCTCTGCATCATCATGATCAGTATCATAATCATAAGCCCAAGCATCACAATCATCATCACTACCCTTGTTGTCACCTTCACATCTTTATCATTATCCCCAGCATCATCATCTCCATCTCCATCATAATTATACTCGACATCACCACAATCATCATTACCATCATCATCGCCATTATCCCCTTCATCATCATAACCATAAGCATCGCCGTCAGCATCAGTGTAGTCGTCATCTTCATCTCCACCTCTGTCATCAGCATCATGGCCATCATCAGCATCGCTTGCCGTCATCATCATCATCAGGAGCACCAGCAGTACTATTACCACTATCATCATCACCATCATGAGCATCGTCATCGTCATCTCCATGTTCATCGTCATTGTAATCATTCTCATGATCGCGATTACCGCGATCATCATCACCATCATCGTCTCCATCACCATCGGCGTCATCATCATCAGCATCTTCATCCTCATCTTCATCATCGTCATCATCACCATCATTATCACCGTAGTCATCATCAGCAGCCTTTCTTCCATCTTCATTGTCAGCACCCTCAGCATTATCATTATCATCATGATCATCATCATCATCTTCACCTTCATCATCGTCACCAGCATCATCATCATGTTCAACATCATCATCTCCTCCACCATCAGTGTATTCAGAATCTTTATAATTACGCTCATCCGTACCACAATCATTGACATCATCATACTCATCATCTTCATGATCATCATCATCGCTATCCACATCATCTGCATTCATCAACATCGTCGTCGTCATCAGCATCAGTATCATGGTCATCATCGTTATCACGATCAGCATCGCCAACAGCATCACTGCCGTTATCACGATCATCAGCATTATCATCATAATCACCATCATGATCATCATTGTCGTAACCGTAATCGTAATCACCACCATCACCATGATCACCACCATCATCGTCATCGTCATCATCATCTTCACCATTATCATCACCATCATCATCAGCTATGTCGTCATCAACAGCATCATCAACAACAGCACCACTATCATCATCACCTGCGTCATCAGCATGATCAGCATCGTCATCACCTTCATAACCATTATAATCATACCTGTAACCAGTACAATCATCATCAGCCCGGCCATCAATGCTATCATAATCACGATGGTCATCTCCATCATCCTCATCATCATCGCCATCAGCATCATCATCATCACTTTCATCCTCTCATCATCATCACCATCATGATCACGATCGCCATCATCATCAACAGGATCACTACCATTACCGCTAACATCATCACACTCACCACCACCACCATCATCATCACCATCATCATCATCATCATCACCATCACCATCACCATTGTCAACATCAACTCGCTCCCCTCTGCGCCGACCCGCCCGGGCCGTGGTCGTACGCCGTGCGGACGAGTCACACGCCTCGCTTCGTCGCAGAAATGAGCAGAGGGAGGGAGATAGGGAGAGACAGAGAGAGACAAAGGGAGGGAGCGAGAGAGGGAAGGATAATGGGAGGCAAAGCCACCCCGACCCCCATTATCAGCGTTTACTGAATGGCCCTGGGCTTTTGCTGAACAGCCCTGCCCTGCTCGATTGCTTCCGTGGGTGCGTTTACTGCACGGCTTTGCTTGTCGGGATGCGTATGATGAGGGTTGTTCTTCTGCCCTACACACAGTCACAAATAATCGTCGGTTCCCTTGACAATATGGAACATACGGGAAGTGGAGGGGAAGGCGAGCATCCAGGGAGCACGGAAGACATGGGGACTGCTGGGATTTGTGTTTGTTGACTTGTGTGTGTGTCCGTGGGTCCCTTATATGTTTAGACATGAGAGAAAGAGGGAACAACAAGACACGCACAATAAATTGTGAGAGAGAGGCTCTGGCGTGGGGCACCAGCCTCGCGGCGGGGGGTGCGAGGCGCCTGATGGCGCCGCCCAGAGCCGAAGCGTTGGGCGAGGTGCTTGGTCCTCTCGTGGCCGCTGGCGTCCGCAGGCGGCGAGCAGAGACAGCTCTTTGACTCCCCAACGGAGCTTGCCTGAGGGGCTCCTACTCGGTTGGGGAGACTGGTGCCTCGGGGGAGGGCACGCTGCCCGTTCAAAGGAGATTCATCCGACTCCCCGGGCTCCTCGGACTCCTCGGGTTGCCTGGGTCCCCTGGGTTCCCCAGGTTCTCCTGCTTCCCCAGGTTCCCCGGGTTCCCCGGGTGCCTCGGGCCAGGCAGTACTATAAGCAATGCCAAGCATTGCGCTCATGCAATAGGAAGCTTTCCCCCAACTTGGGTCGCGCCGGGCTCATTTGATTCATTGTCTCGCCTCTCGGCGCGGGCCCCCGGCCTCTCCCCCCCCCCTCCATGGACCAGAGCTTAGCTGCTTTTGTGGGCTGCCTCTGGCGACTGGTCAGAGCCCCTCTCCCCAGGCCTGCTAGTATACGCGACGGGCAGAAGCATATCGACTGAGCACCCGCCCAGACCTAGACCCCCCCTCCCCCACCCCTCGGCCAAATGTCGAACCCCTGAAAATAAGAACGTCGACGAGGGAGAAGGTCGTCTATACATAAGAGTGACCTTTCGCCGGAGTGACCTCTG